AGTATATGAATATTGGTCTCGTTGGCTAGATCGTAATTAAATACATAATTCAGGCTCGAGAAAAAGTTCAATTGAATAAGTTAGCTCCAAGTTATTGCAGATCGAAGAAATTGTTAAAAGCTAATTATTTATTTATTTATTTATAACTTTGAATATGAAAGTGGAGGTATTGCTCGTGCGTGCAAATGTTCTAATTTGCGGTTGCTTTTGGACACGTGCACGAATTCTATATTGAGTTGACTTGGTCCAACATTTTTTGTTTCAATTTCTGTTTTCCCCCAACGTTTATCCAATTACTCACCTTATTCTACACGATTCCCACTATGTGCCAGCTCTTGAGGATAGGTTATTATTGCTTATACATATAGATACATGTATATTGGAGGGGACACACGTATACAAAGGGGAAAAAAAACGAATTTGGCTTGTTGTACATTCCATGGTTCACATGGAGTTTGACACTCCATGTGAATTCAAATGTAAATGGGCGGGAAAGTGTGTGGTATTTAAAAATTGTCCAATCATGCTTCAACACGTGGCACAATTTCAAAGTTGATGTACTAGTAGCATGATTCAATGACTATACGGTAAACAACAGAGGCAAAAAAGAAAGAAAGAAATGGAACGTGATTTTTTTGTTGTCTTCCAAAATTAAAGCAAGTTAACAAGGTAGGAAAATGTGCAGTTGATTTATCCCGATTAAATTAAATTTCCTTCACGTTGATGAAATTTTATACTTATGAAAGTTAGAGATATGATATGATATGATGTTATGGTCATTCTGGTACAACTGATATGATAGGATATGAGCTCTTACCGGTTTCTAAAGATATGATGACGGTATGATTTTTCTTGATGCATATTTAAATATTTTATTCGGGATTGTACCATATTTTTATGTCACACTGAGTATTCTCATATACTTACCCTTTTTCCCTAGAACGGGTCGTTGGTGGCGCAGGCAATGAGGTGCAGTCGTGGTGCTGGGATTCATATTAAACTTAATAAAGCAAACTCAGTGTAATGTGACTCAAGATTTTATTTTCAGCAATAATCTGGAGTTTCGTTATTTTGTGGACATCTAATTGGAAATTTGAAAGATAAATTATTTGGTTACGTATTTTCGTAATGTGATTTGTTAACATTGACTTATTATTATTAATTTGGCTGATGTGTGTCTTTGCTACTGAATTTTCAGAATGAATTCTCTCGTTAATTTAACAGAATTTTCTAGTAATAGGACAGAGAGTAACCTGACCATTTTGCATGAAGACTACGTGTATGCTTGTAAAGGGATAGAAAATCAATTAATTGTCATATGGACATGTCATTGACATTACAAAAGTAGATGTAATTCACATGAAGGAATTTCTCCAAAGTGGGGAATAAAATATTGATGATGTTTCTTAGGTCAGATGACTAATTTTGCACTTTAATTTTTACGTGATACTAATTGACATTTAATTATGCTTGAAATTGGATTTATTATAAAATTTGAGGATGACAACGTTAGAAATCCATTTTCATTTGTCATTCTTATGATTTCTAGAACTCTACGAAATTGCGTCCCTAATTATTAAGTTTTAGATTGATTTTCGTATGGTCTATCCAAACATGTATCAATATATTGTGATATTGGGAAATATCTTTATTTTTAATAGAATAGATAAATACAAGATTTGAAAATTTCTCTACATAAAATTTAGTAAATTATTGCTACATAATTGCAGGCAACATTGTGTAATTTATAATTTTTCTTATAAATGGTTTTGGTTGCGATTCAAACCTTTAATATTTGGGTCGTTACATGCACGAAGGCAAAATAAGTCCAACATGCCAGCATCTAGCT